AGTAAGTTCTGTGTGTAAAGCCAGTAGTAAACCTTGAGCATCACCGGGTGTAACCCCCCAAAAAAGTCCAAAAAAAGTTATTGTGAAAATTATATCTTTTCACCTTAAAATACTACCAGAACTTACACTATCTCCCAAAACTGTGCAAGCACAAGTATCCTCGTCTACTGGGATCCCTCAGAAAGCAGATCACTTCTGCAATGCAGAGACCCAGGAAAAACAAACAAAAGGAGAAAATGACGTCTTAGCATATTAATGACAGATATCTTGTCTAATTCCAGATAAGACTATGGGTAGGTGTGACTTAAGGATAAGGAATTCCAAAGATCCTGGAATTTCTTATCCTCATCTCATTCCCATAATATGTCTGTCACTCACACTGTCCTCCCGTTGTTCATCAATTTGCTCGAGCGGGCCCAGTAATGTCTCCATTTTGAGACTCATGGTTACTGTGTTTGGCATATTGAATACGTCATGAGTAGCTTGCCAGGCTTTGCCATGTGGGTGAGATACTCTCGGTAGCTTGCCGGGCTCTCTGAGAGGGGCGGAAGAATTGAACTCGGCTCTGCTGGGCTGGCTACGCGCAAGGCAAACGCCCTACCTCTGTGCTATCACTCCAGCCCATAATAACGTGTATTATCATGACATATACATTCACTTGAGCAAGAATACGTTTATAAATAAAGCTCAGGGAAAATAATAAAGAAAAGTCAGAACAATTTCAAAGATAGGGTGCTGTCTAGTGGATTTCTTAGGAATCAATATGGGAGCACACAGAAGATATAAAAGATTGGAGTATCTAGGCAGGAGGAATAGTGATTGCCGAGGCAAGGAAGTGCCTACAAATAAGAAATGAGTGGAGATAGCAAAACTGTACAGGCAACCAGGTTTGACTAAAAGACAAGAGTTTTCATCCTCGTTTGCTACAGAAAAACTTCAAGCAGAAGTTTCCTGGGTCACACCTGCATGTTTAGATAGATTCAACCTGGGTTGTAAAGGTAAGTTGAGATTGAAGGCAAGGAAGCAACATTTTTAAGGGACCATAACATCTTTAAGGGACCTCAACTAGGAGTCAGACTTAGGCTATGTGAAATAGGGTGAGGAAAAGAGAGGAAGTAGAGTGTTCAGGGTTCCTTGCCTAGGCAGAATGTGGTAGTGATGATACAGACTTAAGTTAGAGAAGAAGACAAAAGCCCAACTGTGAGGGACTAAGAGAGCTAGAGGAAAGGGGGGTACTAGAGAGGCACTTTGATCAATTTGGTTTGGAGTATCTGCCAGATGGCTAGGTGACGCTGTCTAAGTTAGAGTTTGAGTTCAGTAGCAAGGTCAAAGCTGGATGCTCAAATGCGCCGTTTTTGGAAACCAGAGATGTTGCCATGGATGAGACTGAAGAAAGCACACAAAGAAGCCAAGTGGGAGGCACTCAACAGGGCATCAGGATTGTTGTAAGAACACCTGGCCTCAGCATCTCCAAAAAAGGTGTCTGTGACAATTGCAAGTTGTTGACAGAGGAAGAGAACAGGGTCTTTTGATTCCTTTCCTGGTGTGGGTGTCCACTCATCCTCTGTATCTCTCTGGAGTTGAACTTGAAGACCTCTAAGGCAATCTCCTTCGCATTTAATATCCTATTATTCCAAATTTCTTCCCAGCTTTGTAAATTCAATAACCAGCCAATTTACTCTGGAAGAAACTTTTGGCTTTGGAAATAAGGAGAATAATTTGCTTGGGATCAAAAAATGGCAGGAAATTGCATTCTTGGGTATAATTGCTGTGTCATCGCAAACCTCAACTTTCTGTTAGTGAGGAAAGGACATCAGGCATTTGAAGGCACCCCATAGAATTACTAAACTACTCATGCAGAAACATATGCCATAATTTTCACCAGAAGTTATGATATAGATGAGTCAAACTGAGAAAGCTAAATTTAGGGTTTGCAAGGGTCCCTCCCCCGTCAATGTCAGAAGTTTCCATTCAACTCCAGGGAAGAGAAAAGTGCTGATATAGGCAGTGTTTGATTTTTCCAGGACTAGGAGATCCAGCACATCTGAGTAGAAATAACTGCAAGGACCACCCACCAGCAAGACAAGGGTATGAAACGGTGACTGGGTCCTTGGGTCACAAAAGAGATAAAACTGTAATGCCCACAAGACCACACTGACAGGACTTTGTATGAGTCTATGTCCTCAACTCTAGAAGTTTGTGGTTTGGGAATTCTCCCTCCTGGGACCCTGGAAGAGCAGCTAGCTGAAGAATGTGCCAGAGTGAGAACTAATGAGGCAGTAATTAAGAGGGAAAAGTGATGGAGCAGGACTAAGGAGAGAGATTCAGTCAAGTATAGTCAGTGGCGGAGCAAGCAGAGATAGAACCAGATCCCTACTGGTCAATGAAGAAATTCACTGAGTTCTCCACCGTGGTGTTTTGTCTATGCATTTAACTGTCAGGGATCACAAGGAAGATCTTTGAAGCAGCTTCTAGAGGGCACAGTCCTGTGAACCTGTGCAGCTGTCCTCTGCTGGACGATGGGTCTCTACTCTGGGCCCTAGAAGCCTCTCCCAGTCTTCCAGTGCTATTTCTCTGCATCTTATTATGATCCACATATCAGGATAAGCAGCATGGATAGATAGCCCCACAGGTGGGAGGGTACATTATGGTACTTGAGCTCCTTCTATTTGTAAAGGCATTTATTAGTTCAGGAGTTGGTACACTGAGTACATTGCTTGAAGTAAAGAACTTGTGAGAATTCAAGTGTACTTGTGATGGACAAAGTTGTTTGCTGGCACTCTAAGTAAACCTTTTTGGTTTGGGAGCAGCAAGAGAAGGATGAATAATGATTCTGTAAACTATTGTTCAGTACTTATGCCATGGCACATGCTCAGGTATGATATAAGTATGCTGGTTGTCTCAGCATTGTACTATGACCATGTGGAAAAATAAATACAACTTTGGCTCCTAAGAACCAAGATGCTGGTAGCCAAGAGCCAGGGCATACCATCTTCTCTGAGTCCCTGATTTACAGACTGAACATGAGGAATGAGAAATGTTGTGGTCATCCACAAATCAATGGTCAGAGAAAAGATAATATTATAAAATTATTATATATATTATGTCCATTATGACTAGTGAAGATTGAGGAGGAAAGAATGCTAACACTATTGGCAAATTGACAAGAAATTAAGTGGGCTCTTCTCAATATTGTCATATCCCATCTTCGTGGGGAGCAGAGTATTTCAAAATTCTTAAAATCCATACTTTTTAGCTCATTATACTTATCCCTCCCGCTGGAACGATAGCACAGCGGTAGGGCATTTGCCTTGCACGCAGCCAATATGGCCGACCCGAGTTCGATTCCTCCACCCCTCTCGGAGAGCCCGGCAAGCTACCGAGAGTATTCGATATGCCAGACACAGTAACAACAAAGTCTCCAATGGAGACGTTACTGGGCCCGCTAGAGCAAATCGATGATCAACGGGAGGACCTTTACCTTTTACCTTTATACTTATCCCTCAGATTTTTTTCTCATTAACTAACAAGACAAGCATATGAAGATGTGAGTTATAGAACATTCCACATAACATCTTATAGAAGAATGGCAATTATAAGCAGAGTAAATGATTAATATAATGAAATCATTGAGAAAAGATGGCATATTCTACCCTTATTTACCTGTAAAAATGTATGGGATAGTGTTGAAGAAAAGAGTAGCTTATAACATTCTATGTTTATATTTATGTTTACAAAAATGGATCATATGGCCATATATATGCATACACACACACACACACATATACATATCACTGTCACTGTCCTCCCGTTGTTCATCAATTTGCCTGAGCAGGCCCAGTAATGTCTCCATTGTGAGACTTGTTGTTACTGAGTTTGGCATATCGAATAGTCATGGGTAGCTTGCCAGGCTTTGCCGTGCAGGCAAGATACTCTCGGTAGCTTGCCGGTCTCTCCGAGAAGGGCAGAAGAATCGAACTGTGGTCAGCCATGTTGGCCACATGCAAGGCAAACACCCTACCTGCTGTGCTATAGCTACACACACACACACACACACACACACACACACACACACACATATTTAGTCACAGGTATACATATGGCAAAAAAAATGTTTACCAGAAATAATAGTGATTCCCTCTGGGACTGATGTGATAGGAGAATTTTATTTTATCATTTTATGATTTATAACTTTTTAATATTTTTGATATTTTATATAATAAGCCTGCTTTTTTCCATAATCAGAAGAAAAGAATACGGTCACCAAAAGGCAAAGTAATAATGGATTTTTTTTTGGTTGCTAATCTTAGTAGGAACCCAAGGAAATTGAAGAAAACTTTTTAGTAGAAATGGCCCTTATTCATCATAGCTCCAAAGTGTTTTTTTTTTAATAAGGACAGGTTCCATTTATGTATGTATCATTTTGGCTTTCAAACGCAATGGGTTCTAACCTATATCCTAGTTGAAGCAAAATGTTTTCAGCCCAAAATAGATTGAAGGTTACAAACCCATCAAAAATGGTGACTTTCAAAAGGCTCCAACCACTCCAGAAAGTAAGACAAAGAAAAATGTGCAAAATCTATTGAAATTGTGGAGAAAGAGGAAACCAAATGACTGGAAAAATATATCAGCTCCAAAAATACTGAGAAAGCTTCAACAGGAGAAAATAGAAAGAAAAAAAAAGTAGCAGATGGATGTCAGAGAGTCAAAGAGCTTTTGAAATTTGGCTGTGCGTCACCAATTATACATATTCAAGATTAGGGCAGCATACTGATTCCAAGGGCCACAGAAGGTTTTCTAATGTCCCCCAAATCTCTTTTCAGTCATTGAATGACCATCAAGCTATAATGTAAGATTTTTAAAATTCATTTTATCAACAATAGCCTAGATCTGACAGCAGAGAAATGAAGGGAGAGAGGTCCAATTCCAATAGAACCCTTGTGTCTATCCATATCCACGATGGTTTGTAGACATAATTCTTTTTTCCTTCTCACTTCCAGGAAAAGCACAAAGGAGCAAACACAACCATGGCCAAGTTGACAGAATCCATGAGTGAGTAACTTGAAATTTTTATTCGGGGTTTTGAATGGAGACCACAAAACTTTGCAGAGATCTCACCTCTTTGATGATCCGATGTGCCTTTTTCTTCTGCTCTTGAGAACATCAAGAAATACTTACCATGCTGTATTGGGAGAATGCTTCTTTATGTATTATACAAAGGTCATCTTGTTGGAGGAAAAGCAAACTTTGTGTTAAAAATGTTATGTAAAGTATGAAGCTATAGAGTGAAGATGGATTTTTATTTGCAATACCGCACTGTTGATGGTAATACATAATTATGCCAACCTGACTTTTAGGAGATTTAATAAAAATCTGCTGACATTTTGTGAGGTGATACTCCATAGGGTGAATGATCTAAGGAGAGAAAAGAATGCTGCTTTCAAAGTCAGTCCGTCCTTTCAATGGAGTTCAGGAATTTCAGGCAGAATTATTTAAGATGGAGTGTTTGAGGTATAAGAAGCTTGAAATGTTTTAGGTTTTTAATATATAGGTGGTGTAATGTTCTAAGCACATAAGCTAAATAAATAGAATACACAAGTCACTTTGAAGACGAAAGGAGAATTAATTATAATCCTCCTGCAAAATGAGAAATGCAGTTACCTATGTTGATGTTTAAATATCAAAGCTTATGAAACAGCATTGGGTGTGAAATAGACAATGCAAAGGACTCCCCCCCTCCTTGGGAAAAATAATATTTTCCTGGTGATGGACATCATCTCCAAAGTGACAGGGGAGTCTGGCAGAATTTCTATATCTAAGAATCATGAACACCTTATTAATTTTGACCTCTAAAAGTTACCATCTATCTTGCCCACATTTAACTGGACCCTGCTGTCTCCTTCTACTATTCCTGAAAGCATAAGTATTCTTCTGTAACATTGCCAATGCACCCTTGCCCCCGGAAATTCATCCTTCAGTAAAAGGTAGTATTAAGGGATTCTTCATGTTTCTTTGTTCCCGGATTTCAACCTCTTCTCCCCTCCACATGTCTAATTTTACCATGTAAACCAAGAGTCTAAGGGACTAGAATAACCGCCCCTCTTCTGTTTCCATTTCTGGACCAGACCCCACCCTCTCTCCTCCACCCTTCTTCCCACCTCTAGTCTTGCAATCTGAAAAGTGTTCAAAGAGTTTGTCACTTGTTTTAAAGAAAGCCAAACTGGTTTTCAGCAAGGGGAATCATTGTAAAACTCTGTAGCATGCACTTCTCGGGTCTGGAATGATATTTTATTTCAGTGACAATGATCTATACTTGGTATCAAGTACTTGCTAACACTGTTACCAGTATTATTTCCAAACTGATGGCATGTATTGAGAAAATACAGGCCAGGAGAGTAGATGACATCGGTGAATTCACAAGCCACAGCACACTGATTTAGTACTCATCTCTAAATCCAAAGTCATAAGAAAGAAGACCTGGAGGGTCTCTGAATGACTTGCAACCTCACATAGCAAGGCCAAAACAGTGTTAAGAGTATGGCAGAATATAAGTTAAAGGTGTGTGTGAGTTGTGATGATGCTAACAGGTTTTAGGGTAAGTCTCCATTAGAAATTGCTATTCCAGTTCTTATAAAAACATTAGCAAAGTACTCTAAGAGATGTTAGTCGATATTGATGATAAGGGCATTTTCATTTTTCATTCTGTGTTGGATCCAGATGCATTAAGTAAGAGCTGCTTCCAGTTCTACTGATGCATGGGTTTGATGTTCCATGCTTGCCTCTGCAATGATTCAAATGACTTTGATCTATGGGCCCATTGGTCTAAAAGAATACTACCAAAACTGAATCCCAAGCCCTTGGGGTGGATGAAAGGATACATCCATCCTTCTCATTTTCTTTGTTTTTATGAGCAAAGATTATATAGACATGTCAATGCATGAGCAAATTTAAAGTTTGAAAACAGGCCTTGGACTCTAACTAGCTTTGCAGTTCACTGGTCCTGACAGAGATAAGAACCTTTGTAAAGTAGGTGACAGGCTGTAACTTTTAAAAGCACTAGGAAATGTTAACCAGGCCAACCAGACTAACAAGTATCACTGTATCACTGTCATCCCATTGTTCATCAATTTCCTTGAGCAGGCACCAGTAACTTCTCCATTTGTCCTATCCCTGAGATTTTAGCAAGTGCCACATCAGAGGCTCTTTCAGGGTCAGGGGAATGAGACCCATCATTGTTACTGGGTTTTGGCATACTTAATATGCCATGGGAAGCTTGCCAGATTCTGCCTTGTGGGCAGGGTATTCTGGGTAGCCTGCTAGGTTCTCTGAGATCGAGAACTAGGCAATAGGAAGTCGTGCCCACAAATGTGGCCACGTGCTTCCGGGAGCTTGGTTTTATAGTCTCTGAGTCTAGGCCATTGATGGGATTACACAGTTGGTGGGTGTAACACCTAGCTACTGGAAGATGGGGGATCTGGGTGGAGGAGGCCCAGTCCCGATCCTAGACTAACAAGTATTTCATCAAAATGAAACCCAGGAATAATGTTCTGTAATACTCTGCCTTTATTTTACAGAGGAAAGCTACAAGGAAATGAATTCATTATTAAGTAAGGAGAGTCTGTCAGTTGGCTAAGCAAAGGATTAACACAAATTACTGCATAATAAATTTGATGGTAGCATCACATCCATAGCCAGTGGAGAAAAGGGACATAAACAAAACCACAAATGCTCAAAATGCGGCTCTGGATAGATTTCCAGAGCCAGGAAGCACTTTGCTTGTTAAACTGCCAAGCAAAACCCATCTGGTTACGAAAACATGACTGTGTTTAACTAGAACTGGCTTTTCCTTCTCTCACCATTGGGGTCCAGACGTTTTGGAGGGCTGTGCAAACAAGACCATGGCCTGGGAGGTCTTTTCCATCTTCCAGAGCAGAAAGGGAGAGTACTTTTTCCTATCACACACCGTACATTTGCCACTACGTACAAATGGATGGTAAGCCTTCTTTACAAGGCCAAGCAAGAGAAACAAAAACATAAACAGGTTTGTGTATGTTTAATGTAAAGCCACTTGATAAATACAAAATAATGCATCAGAGTGTCACACTGCTGAAGTTGGGGGGGGGGGAAGAAGGGACAAAGCAAGGAAGTAAAAAAATAAATAGAGACTGCAGAGAATAAATAAACAGATGTGGAGGGGAAAGATGGAAGGAGAATAAAAATACAAACAAGAAAAGGACATTTAAGAAATACTCAAAGGGCCAGGGAGATAGTGAAGTGAGTAACCTGCCTTGCACGGGGTCAGCTTGAGTCTCCGGCACTGCAGAGGGTCCCATGGTCACTGCTAGAACTGATCCCTCAGCACACGGCCCTAAGCATTGCCACGTCTGTCCCCAAAACCAAACGACTCCGAGAAGGTCCCTCTCCAGTGGAAAGAGACATCAGAGGGAGAAATGAGTTGGCAGGAAGCAGGAGGGCAAGCAGGTAGGAGAGAGATTGCAGGGGACTTCAGAGGGTCCAACAGGAACTCTAGACCACTGGCCTGCTCTAGACTTTCAGTCCCCGACAGCTACTGATTTCTCACCACTGTCCTTTGCTGTGTGCATTGTGGAAATGCGCATTCCCTACTTAGCCCACCAAAACACTGTCCCAAACAGAAAACCCCAAATGCCTCACCGTGGACGGGATTTCTCAGAGCCCCAGACTCACTCAAGTCAGCTGCAGCCTGGTGCCAGCAAATACTCCCGTCCTTGTAGATGGTGGGTAGCAATGGGAGAAAGAACACACTTAGCAGCTCCATGGGGGCTGGAAGGCTCTGTGCTGAGCCCTTGACTCTAAGTCAGTGAACAAATTGGAGGTGTGCAAATGGCTGTGGCAGCTGGCTTCACAAAGTCTGCACAGAATGGGAAGGGTCCTGTAAATTTCCCTAGGGAGTTGACATCCGGGCCAACGGCTGTGCTGTCCCCCTGTGCACATACCTTGGCACCTGTCCTATGTACTGTCTGCCACAGGGCCCATTGAGAAAATTGATGACATCATAGAATGGGTCCTCTGTGTGTGTGTGTTTGTGTGTGTGTGTTTGTGTGTGTGTGTGTGAGAGAGAGAGAGAGAGAGAGAGAGAGAGAGAGAGAGAGAGAGAGTAACACAGGCAGGGAAGTCAGGCTGGGGGAAGGGGCACCTTCCCCATGTCAGAGGGAACCTTCTAGAGCCCCATCCTGGTGGGTCCTGCAGGCAAGTCCTGCTCTACATCCCTCCCCCTCAGCTTGCCTATCAGCAGTAGACACCTAAGGTGTGTGTGGCTGCCGTGGACCACGCTCCATCAGGAGGAGGTGACTTCCTGTTGCTCTCTGTGGCCATCTGCTTTGCCGCTCTCAGCATACAGGCAACCCAAGTCGCCCCTGCTGCCTGGTCCACCTCCATAGTGCAGCCCCGGAAAGAGACATCACTCACTGTTCCCCGTAGACTCACGAGGAGGCCACGTGGCCAGGAAGCACAGGCCCGGTCCCTCCCGGAGCCCGGAGCTCAGAGGCCAGTGTGCCTGCTTTGATGGAGCGGGGATCCCTCCGTTCAAGCAACGGTTCCAATCGAGCCCAGCTTTGACATTATCCGTGTCCGATGAAATGAAGTGAGGCCCGATTACAATCACGACATGTTCCATTAACTCCATTAATAATGTGCAGTGGCTTTTCAAATCATTTATTTTCTCCATGTGGAGAAGCGGTTAGAACTCTGGCATTGTGTTAGAAGCTGGAAAGACCAAATAAAGACAGGTAGTGGGGGAGGAGGGTGATCCTATCTACACCAGGGATAGTGTTTGGGGGTGGCCCAGAGAAATGCACCCTGTCACCTCATGCTCCACACAGTGGCTGCAACCCACAGGTCCCTGTGCTGGGCAGGGAGTACCAGGCTGCCTGCAGGAACGTGGGTGCCAGCTTAGGATCCTGGCCTGGGGCACGGCAGCACTGGGAGTAGGTAGGCATGAATCGGGCAGTTGTGAGGAGTCAGGAGCGAGATGATGGCTGGGCCGAGGCCAACAGGCTCATACAGGACTGTGA